ACACATTCACAGATAGGTTATATAGATTTTAGCATTTTAACGATGCTGTATGGTCATTTTTAATTAGGCCTTCCCCTTTTTAAATACAGGCATTTGTTACTCATTAGCATTAACAGATGTGCGTGTTTGAAGTGTATAAGGTCTCTATAATTAAATTTGAGTTCCACCTGTTTTGCTGATTTTTTTTAATGGCTTTGAACTAAGAGCACTGCCTTTACCAGGCCATTAAGAAATGATTAGTGTGCTTTAATTTCCTCAGGCTGCTCTCTTCTGCTCTTTTTTCTGTGTGTGCATGTGTGTGCATGTGTGTGCATGTGTGTGTGTGTGTGTGTGTGTGTGTGTGTGTGTGTGTGTGTTTGTGCATGCATGCGTATACACCGACCAGCCATTCACACCTACTTGTTTCTACACTCTTTATCCATTTTATCAGCTCCACTTACCATATAGGTGCACTTAGTAGTTCTACAATTACAGACTGTAGTCCATCTGTTTCTCTTTCTCTGTCACCCTGTTCTTCAAAAGGTAGGACCCCCAAAGGACCACCACAGAGCAGATACTATTTGGGTGGTGGATCATTCTCAGCACTGCAGTAACACTGACGTGGCGGTGGTGGTGTGTTAGTGTGTGTTGTGCTGGTACGCATGGATCAGACACAGCAGTGCTGCTGGAGTTTTTAAACACTGTGTCCACTCACTGTCCACTCTATTAGACACTCCTACCTTGTCAGTCCACCTTGTAGATGTAAAGTCAGAGACGATAGCTTATCTGTCGCTCCACAGTTTGTGTTGGTCATCGTCTGGTCCTTCGTTAGTGGACACAGGATGCAGGAAGTTCATGAAAGTGGTGTTTAATAAATTGTGAAACAAAACCCTACATATGTACTGTACAGCTGATCTGGAAACATTTCAAAAATTTCCATTTTCTGCTGTAGCGTCCTACTAATTATTTGAAGTATGTGAAGCTGACAAAGACTAGCATATTAAAAACGTTTTATATGTTTAGCTGCAACAAAAACAAAATGAACGAGTGTATGACTGTGTGTATGCGTACGGAAAATGTGTGTTTATGTGTAAATACAATGTTTTGTGAGTGATGTCTGTGTGAATCTCTTCAAGTGTAGTCTATATGATATGCGGCTCTATATCCAGTATTATTCTCATAAGCCACGGCTTCAGCTTCAGTGTGAAAGCACACAGTAACTGCAGTATGAAGAGGCTTTAATCACATATTACATAACTGTGATTGGCTCCAACATTCACCCCTATATAATAAATGTATGTAGTCAAGACATTTATATGAATATGAAACAAGCCAACCACCAGCCTGTGTGTATGCATGTATGTGTGTGCATGCGTGTGTGTGTGTGTGTGTGTGTGTGTGTGTGTGTGTGTAGAACATACAGGAATTTCAGCACACATCAAACAAGCCCATAATTTTTTCCCCTGTGAATTCGACCACCTAAGGAGCTGAAGTTCAAACCATACTGAGCTGAAACGACTAGCACAGGTCTCACTGCTTTTAATGCTTTCGAAGCCAAACCTTTGCAAGACCCTCACGGTTCATTTCATCATCGTACTAGAACTAGAGCTAGAGTCTCTGAATCTGGAACACTTTGGTTTGTGTAGTAATTTTGGCACCAGTGGCCAAATTCCTTCTTGTGTTTGCCACTAACACTAGTCACTCCTGGTTGTACGTAACTTTACCTCCAGAATCCAACATCTCACATAGAATCATAGTCTGACTTTTGCCAGAAAACAAAAGCTTAAGAAGGTAAACTACCTGCTTAACATGGGTTTGTTTACTTGGTGCAGCCATAGCTACAATACCTTCAAAATGTCATATTACATTACATATTTTAACTTCATTAAGATTCATTAAGACATTATTGTATGTTTTTTTTTTTTACTTATTTCATGCATTTTAAAAAATTTCCAGAAAATATATATTTTTAAAAATGACAGCTTACGTCATTGAATATTACGGTAATATAATTGATTTTGTTGAAACACCACCTTTAGATCAATGCAGTCTTACCCTTTTTTGTATTAATTAGATAGATAGATAGATAGATTGATTGATTGATTGATTGATTGCTTTATTAATCCCAGAGGGAAAGTCGTCTATTACAGCAGCACAGAGTACAGTAAAGAGCAAAACAACAGCAAAAGTATTGACATACTGTTATACAGATGCGTAAACAGAAGCAGTAAAGATGTATAATAAAATAAACTAAAACAATCATAAAATATAATGTGCAGTACAACAATAAGTAAGTAAAATCACATAAATATTATGCAGATGAAAATGCAGTGGTCCATGTCACGTCCAGTGGATGAACAGAATGACTTAACACTGTAAACAATAACATATGTTAATAGTTGTGCACTATGCCTGGGGTATAAATAAGTGGCAGTGCAATATGCAATATACATGGATGTATTAACAAAATGGCTGTGCATAGTAAAGAGTAGAGACACATAATGTCCAGTTGGTGTTCAGTGAGTCAGTCCTGTCAGTAGGTCAACACAGTTAACTGAGTAATACTAACTGAATAATAAGTGTGTGGTTGAAGGGGTTCAGTCTGTTTTGAGAGTGTGTGAAGGCTCAGTGTGAGCTGCGTCTGTGGGCTGCCTTTTTGCTGCTGCTCTGTTCTGACTGTGCAGATTGAGTTGTGGTGAGCTATGCTGGATGCTGAAGTAATTTCAGATCCCATAAGTTTGTGAGTTCTGATTAGTGTGCTGGAAGTGCTGCCAGTTCCGTGTCAAGGCCGGATTTCACTGAACACGATGAAAATGGAAAACGGGACACGAAAAAAAGAGAACGGAGGGTCCATATATATCCAGCTGAGGTTTGATTTATTCAGAAACTGATGCTGCTGGGCCTGTGGCAGGCCAGATTGGCAAAGATGTTTGTTACAGTCTGTTAAGGTCATTAAAGTTTCAGTGTGTCAATCAGGTCAAACTAGAGCTACACTGCCTGTGTTACTTGGTAGACGATGCAGGAGACTAGGAAGAAGGATGCAAGTGCAAGCTTGAAGATGAGGGTGGTGATGCGTGACAGGTCACCACAGGTAGTTGGTACTGCACCAGAGGGGGTCTCATAGATCCCAGGTCAACCCTTAAGATCTATTCCGGATGCGGGGCTGAGCCTCATCGCACTGAAATTAAATCATTCATCATTAAAGAATGATGGAGGCAATTAAAATACGTTATTGCACACACCAACCAGGAAGTACCCCTGGGGTCTGTCTGCACACATGCCTGCGTGTACATTATACCATTTCAGAAGACTGATGTAATTCTGATCTGTAAATGAAATGCAGGTTATGCTTTCTCCCAAGCTGAGGATTCTTCTGTGGAACTGATGAGTAATACTCTCTGAAATGTGTTTTATAACTTTTGTCCTTGTCGAAGCGTTAGACGTACGTGTTCTAAAACATTGGACCTGTGCTACGTTGCTGTATTTTTCTTATGTGGAAAGCAAAGTTGGCCCCTAAGGATGACTTCAGGGAGCCACATGGGAGGTGAAGGCCAGAAAAGCTCTGCGACAGGCCAGAAAAAGCACACACACTCTTTCTGCTGTTTGTCTCGGTGCAGAGATGGTTATGACATGCAGGGTTTGGATGATGTGGAAGCAGCAGAAGAACACAGTCACACTACTCCTTTAAAATCCTGGCCTATTGCATCCTAAGGCTTATTGTTTAGTAAATACATAACCTACAATCTAACTCATCTAGTTATTCTTAAGTTATAGAAACGTGAAATAGAAGTTATGGCCATTTAAGAGCTATATAATTCACTGTCCACTGTCTGGTTAAATCTTGTATCATTCTCTGCAGAATGCTGGTACCCTACTGTAAATGTACAGTAACTTACTGGCAACTGAGTTGCAGTAAAATTCCAGTAAATTAGTACAAGAAGATATCAAAGATTTTACAGTTTCACACTGTAATTTTATGGCTAGATGGGCACAATTTTTTAAGTTATATATTGTATCATATTTACAGGAGTGTTACTGTTAAGCTTCATCACCTGTCTATAAAGCACTTTGAGCTAAAGCACCAGTATGACTGTAAAATATCATTACTGTAAAATATTAACTATAATTTTACTGCAACTAGTTGCAAGTAATTTACTGTAAAATTACAGGTAAAATTTTTAACAGTGGCAGTCAAACAAGAACAGGAAGTCAAGTGAAAAAACAGGAGGTTCCAAAACTGGAGTTTAAAATTATTTAAAGCTACATGGAAAACAAGACCCCCCCAACAACTACCTGGAAGACCTGGTAGACCACCAAAACTGTCCCTATCAGATAAACAGTACCTAAAGCTTTCATCTTTGAGAGAGAGGAGAAAATCAAACTGCTTCAGATCTGAAGACAACCACAGGTGTTTCTGTCCATCCTTCCACTGTGAGAAGACAACTCAGCGCTGTGGGTCTGAAAGGATGTGTAGCTGTTCAAGAAGAACCTCACTGAGAAAAGGAAATAGACAAAAGAATAAGAACATTTGCATCAAATAAAGAAGGGTTCTCAGAACAGTGGACTGACCACCCCAGAGTCCAGACCTCATCACTGAATGTGTTTGGGATTACTTGGATCGTGAGAAGCAGAAAATGCAACCAACTTCTAAGACTGAACTTCAGAGGTGTGGAAAAATATCCCTACGGATTTCTTTGAGCAAGTATTCCGAAAAGAATGGAAGCTGTAATAAAGGCAAAGTGTGGACAAACTAAGTATTTTTCTGTTAAAGATGTGAAATTAAATAAACGAAGGATGGTGTGTGACTTTTGCACGGTACTGTATGTTGTTGGAAACACCACAGAAATAAAATTGAATTCAGTGGAATAACAGCTTCTGTTTATCACCAAAGAACATGCATGTCTTTCTTGCTCCACCCCTTTAAAGGTAACTTGGTGACTCAGCTAATGTACTTCACATACAGCATTTCAATTCACTCCATGGATCTCATTTCTTTTCTTTGGTTTTCTATGTGTTTTTAGGAAAAAGTGCTGTGGGGGCTTTAAGTTTGTCCTGGGCCAATGTATTCCAGAAGGTAGGAACTAACTCTCTCTCTCTCTCTCTCTCTCTCTCTCTCTCTCTCTCTCTCTCTCTCTCTCTCTCTCTCCTTCTCTCTCTCCTTCTCTCTCTCTCTCTGTTTCTCTTTTCTCTCTCTCTGGTTTGGAGACTATGCAGCTGAATTTGGAAACATTTTTCCCTCACGTCCCATAGGCATCCTAAATGGAAAAGCCCCTTTAAAAAAACTCCTCAGTTCCCCTTCTGTTGCCTTAACCTTTTCGGACCACCTAAAATAGGCTGGCAGCGTCTGCTCAGACATAACGATTGGGTGATTGCGATTAGCGTGGGATGTCTGCAGTGGGAATACATCCATAAAATTAACACATGAACAACATAACTGTCTCTCAGATCCATGGGTGTGGATTAGGGGTTTAAACCGCTAATGTGATTTTGCTCATAACTGTCAGCGGACATGCCAAGTTCTGCCACACCATGAACAATTTACACAGTGTGTGTGTTAGTGGTTTGTTTTATGTTCCTCTATGAAGCAGTTTAATGCTTATTTTCTGTCAGGCTGAACTGCTGTCCTCACCTGCTCCGACATCTCTGATGAGAAACACAGAGCTGTAGTCTGTAGCTGGGGTCCACATTCTTTCCCAGAGTCAGATATAGATATAGAGCCACAAGCTACGCTACAACCGTCTGGCTGTACCACTGATATGACAGTATTAGGAATGCACTGATATGGCTTTTCTGAACTAAACATGGGACTTGATAATTTAGACCTTGTTGTGGCTGATATCAATGCTAATAACCAATACTAAGCAAACAATTATTATTATTTATAAGTGTTTTCAAGTCGCTATCAACTCCTGGCGACCATATGGATAGTGTTCCTCCAGAATGTCCTGACCTGTTTAGGTCTTCAGGCTTCTTAATGGCTTGTTATCCATCCATCTTGTTGGTGGTCATTTTCTCCTTTCACCTTCAACTGTTCCAAGCGTAATTGTCTTTTCCAAAGAACTGGTTCTTCTCATAATATGTCCAAAACATATGTCCAAAGCTTCAGTTTGGTTATCTGGGCTTCCAGTGAGAAGTGAGGTCTGATTTAGCCAAGCATTCATTTGTTGCCATCCAAAGCACTCTTAAAAGTCTTTGCCAACATCACAGTTCAATGGCGTCATAATTGTCCTGTCCCACTTTTTCATTGTCCATTCATAGAACCACAGAACAGACCACAGCTTGGACAATTCATTTATAGAGACAAATCATTACATTTGAAGATCTTTTCAAGCTTCTTCATCCTTGTTCTGGTTGGAGTCTCTGTTCTTTGTTCTTTAACTTTCCTTCTATCATTACATGTTCAGCATAAAGGTTGAACAAGTATGGTGATAGTGGGCAGCCTTGTCTTACTCCTTTGCTGAGGAATCAGTCTGTTTGTCCATTTTACTGAAAAGTTGTGTAGTGGGGATGGAGGTTAGGGGGTCACGCTGCAGAGGCTGGTGCCCATCATCCGTATTAATCATCCATGTCCGACTGTCTGAGTGCCTCTTTGTTGTAAACTTGTGCTAGTTAAGAAAAACAGAATACAAATTAAAGTGTGCTGAACTGGCTCTGCCCTTTACAACATGTCCAGATTCTTAATTACAGTTTATTTGAGCAGGAAAGTGTTGTATTTTTATTTGTGTGTAGATTATGATGTGTGTGCTGGTGCCCCCTGTGAGCAGCAGTGCACTGATCACTTTGGTCGTGTGGTCTGCACCTGTTACACCGGTTACCGCTACGATCGAGAGCGCCATAGAAAACGAGAGAAACCCTACTGCCTGGGTAAGTCACCGTCACGCTTCTGTCTGCACAGTACAGACCATTAAACACTTAGTAATGCTTTTGTTATACTATTTTCCAACACTTTGTACTTGGGTTAACTTCATTTGTTTATTTAACAAGAACAATTCACACTAAACAACAACATCATTTTATGATGTAGTAGTGTTACAGAGGTTAGATTACCCAAATAGCTAATTTAATCTTCTGTCTTCGAGTAGGTTGATGTTTAAAAATACAGTGGGGTTCAAAAGTCTGAGAGAACTCGTGAAAAAATGCTTCAATTTGGCATCATTTTCTAATTGAATACAAAGTTTTTAATTATAAATGATACTGGCAACACTCCATTTGGATAGTCCTCTTTAGATGATTTGTAAATACTTAACTTACTTACTTTAAAGTTACATTCAACTTCCTCTCTCTGTACAGATATTGACGAATGTGCCAGCAAAAACGAGACAGTCTGTTCACAAATCTGCATCAACACTCCCGGCAGCTACAGGTGCGACTGTGAGAAAGGCTTTTACCTCGAGCAGGACGGGAGGACATGCAGCAAGGGAGAGAGAGGTGACCCTTCAACCCCCCTTTCATTCACACGCTCTCCGCCCATTCACGCTCTCTTTCTGCCACATTTACGCTTCTGAGCAAATGTATCTTTTACTGTGCAAACTGTTGTGTTAATAAGTAGTGCAGTGTTGAGATTGGTCACCTGGCAATCATTACCCTTCACTTGGCTCTGCCTGTCTAAATAAACCTCCTCCCTTCAGCTGACTCGTCTCAGGAAAACCTCCCCAAATGGAGCGCAGAGAGGCGAGGCTGTAGGTTTGGTCTGTTAATGGAGCATCAGTACGTGACATCCGCTGCTTCCTCCCTAAAGTTTGTCTTCCATTGTTCAGAATCAGAATCGCTTTATTCAGCAGTATGAGTCAGGTACAGGAATTTGTTTCACTATGTTTGAAACTGGGGCATAACTGATGTGGTGGTTGGCTAATAAGATTTATGTGTTCTTCTTTTGAACAGCAACTTCTGCTAGATAAGACAAGCTTTACAGGGTGAAGGAAAAATCCAGCCTAAGGAGGAATTGTAGTGCACGCGTTTTGTCGAAACACCTAGATTTATAGTGCCTTATTAATTTAATGATGTTTTCTTTGTATGTTAAGATGGAGTGGATGTCGTTTTTGTAATCAAGCTCACATTAGCATAGAAAATGTGTTGCTGTTTCCAGTCTGCTGTACACTCAAACAAATACATGGTCATATGAACTGAATTCAGTTATGCCACACATTTCCATTCAATCAGAGTGGAGTCAGAATATAAGCACTTTGTATACTTTGTTATTCAGTTGTTGATGGAACAAAACTGAAGAAAAACATTTCAGAGTTTATTTGAGTTTCATAATAACGGACTTCTCTTTGACTCAACATCAACAATTTTCATCCACTGAAATGCACTTTCATTCATTTTTTGTCCATTCTTCTTAAAGACAACACACTTAATGTATTTAATGCCTCACAGTATGAAGTACAAAGCAATTTATTACAGTCTTGTGATTTCTTTTTCCTGTATTTAACCCTTGTGTGGTGTTCAGGTCTGTGGGACCCATTTTCAATGTTTACCAAAAGAAAAAATGATGTGATGTATTATTGGTTTAACCTCAGATTCCTTGGCCTTTGCTCATTTTTGAAGAACGTGTAAAATAACCCATTTTCAGTGCCTTCACACTGTTCACCCCCCACACATTTATATTACGCATGTGGTGATGAGGTGAACCCTCGGGGAATTAAAGTGTGGAGGTACTGTGTCCCATCAATCTGTTCTGCTCCTACATGGCCTACTGTTAGTGTGTGTGTGTGAGGGTGGACAACATGGACAGGCTGCTGACTGGCGACAGCTGCTAAAGGAGAACCCTACACTGGCCACCTGTGATATTTTAAACATCTGGTATTTTTATATAAATTGTTATGACTGTATTGATTTAAAAAACAATAATGTGAGTAACAAACACATCAAACACCACACAAGGATTAAACAATGTTAGATTATGGTACAAACACATTACAATAAAAATTCCTGCAATCACATTACAGCTATTGACTAATCAAGAATTTTGTTACTTGTAGTGCTAATGCGTCTCTAAGAGAACACATGATGCATTTAAAACAAATTCCCATACGTAACTGCTCCATTTGTCTTTGGCGTGTGTGTGTGCTACCTGTGACATTTTGGAAAGCGCCGTAAACTCAAATAACAATCTGTCAAAGCATCCAGTAAGGCTAATATGAAACGGATGGATAAAAATCCTTGTGCTGAAGAACAGAGAGCCCCATCCTCACCTAACCAGGCCAGGCCTGATTCTCATTCAGGAACAGCTCTGTAAGCTGTTCATTTTATTCTTAAAGGTTTTATATGAAACAGCTGTTTTTAAACTGTTTCGAGAGGCTCGTTTCTAGGTTTTCTAAACATCAGCTGTTCATAATGTCAGTTTTCATTGTCTTGTTTGAAAGACAGGAAGAGTGATGGGCCTTTTAAATAATTGGCTATTATTGGCTCTTTTTTCTAAATAAAGTACAAACGGACTTTCGGACTTTCCCTTGTACTTTCCAGTTGGTTTTGGAGAGTAACAGGGAAGTGACATAATGAGTTGTGTGATTACTTTTTACTTTTTAAAGAAATTAAGGTGACACTTTATTTCGAGTGGCCTTTTAGATGAAACAAACACTCAACAGACTCTCATGAGGGTTAGGATTAGGTTTTGGGTTGAGGTTAAAGTTAGAGTTAGGATTAGGGCCAGGGTGAAGGTTAGGTTTTGCGTAATGCAAGTAACATATTAACAACACATCTACTTAATGTAAGTACTGTATCAACAGAACATCTACAAGATATTTACTTCAGTGTATTCAGATGCTTCACTGCTGCTACTTCACTGATATGCTGTTGATGTGTTACTGATAATCTGTGAAGTGTTTATTAGTCATCTGCAGAGGATCAAGTTTGAGAGAAGTACATGTTTGTAATTGGTGCAGCTGGGTGCAGGATAGAAGGTTGCAGTGCTCTGTCTGTCTGTCTGGGTGGAGGGTTGAAATGCATTCATGCTTGTAGCAAGAAAACTGCTGCTAATGAAATGATGTAATGCAACTGTTTCTTGGTGTGGAAAAGGGCTTTTGTCGTTGTGGTTTTCGCGCATTCCCTTGGGAATCTCGCACGCGGCCCTGTAAGATCTTTTTAGAAGATGAAGACGCTCTGCAGGCTGCTGGTGAGTAAGACTGGAACTGAGGAGAAGCCAGCACGCTCCGTATGTGTGGTCTTACACATCTTCTGCTTTCATGCACTCCGTTTTCGCCCCCAGGCGTCCCACCCACCCTCTCGACTTCACATTTAGCTGTCAATCTGAACCCACAGCACAAAACAAACACTCTGCTGGTGTGACACATTTATAAGATGCTGCTTCCTGCCTCCGCTGACCCGTCTCTGTAAGCCTTAGCCAATGACTCAGCCTAGCATTAGCATTAACTAGCCACTCGTCTTACGGACAGGGTCACCCTGGGCTTCCTTCCTCTTTTCCTCTTTTCTGGGTCAGTAGGGGACACGGCGGATGATGAAGATGATGCGCTGTGTGATCGTGTGTGTGTTTCCAAATTCCACACATGCAGAAAGTGAAGGGAGGAATTTCCAGACCACAGAGTTTATCAGGGAGTGGACGGATGTGTGTGGGGGTCCGTATGTATGTGTGGGAGTGTGTCTTTGTGAATGTGTGTGTACAGGAACTTGTTTCACCGTGTTGGAAACTGTTCAACAAGAGTGTTAAAACATTGGCACACATGGCGTGATTTATTCAGTCGTTTATAATTTGAACATGCGCATAACTACTTACATCTTGCACACCAATCATGATTTTTTGGACAGCGAAAATACAACAATATTGTATTCGCTGTGACACATCTGTCTCAACACGGACAAATTCCCACAAAATGAGGTAAGGCTTTGGCAGAAAAAGGGATAGAGTGATAATGCGAAACCTCACGATTTTATTAAGCTGATAATAAGTCCATAACCACTCAAGCAAAAACGAAGGAAAAATAAACCAAAGCTAAAAAATAAATCACTTAGTTTAAACCTTTGAAACACCAACTAGGCTCACAGTGTATATTTAAGGGTAGCTCAGTCAAAATCTGTTCTGCTGTTGCCTCGAACATATAAACACAATACACAGAGGTCTAATATTCAGCAGAACCCACCCAGGACAACACAACACACACACTGAACTGGGAATATTAATAAACTTTAACTGGACATCATCTTAAAGTATGTCCTGTTATACAATGTCTGCAATTGCTATTATTACTGCCATTATTACTGCTATGGTTATTACCACTAATTGCATTACTACCACTTCGGTTAGCACTACTATCATTATTATTAATATTTTTATCATTACTACCATAAATACTATTACTATAACTAATATTATTATTACTACTGCTTCTGCAACCACAATATTAGTACTGTTACTGTTCCTACTACTACTGCGACCATTACTGCTACTACTACTACTACTACTATTACTACTACTCTTACTTTTACTTTTACTATTACAACTGCCGTATCACTATTAAGGTGAGAAATACTGGGGTACCTGGGGGGTCCAGAATTCCCTGATTAACCTCTTGGACCCCCTGTTTGTCTCAAATTAAAAATTCTGGGGAGTCTCTGAAAATAAAATGATTTTGACGTTATATTGTTCGTTAGGGAAAAATAGACACCCAAATACAAATTCAGGGAAAGTTATATAAGTTATTGTTTAGCTGCTTCACCCACAATTTGCAAACTTCTGTCTTTAATATTTTGAACTAACTAAAGATTCAGCACTATTCTGCCTCAGGGTGGCGTCCTTCATAGCCTAGCAACTGGTAATGTGTGAAAGACTGCATTACCAAACTAGAAAAGAGCATTTCCAAAAGAAGAACAAGCGCATCAGTGCTGCTGTGGCGAGTGAGTTAGCAGGGAGCCAATGCTGGAATAGCCAGCCAACGTGGGACCCTTCAAATACCAGGGTTTTTTTGCACACTGATTACTGCTACTATTACTACAAGTATTGCCATTACTTTCACTGTTATTACTGCAACTGAGAGCACTACTACTGCAATACTACTATCACTATTAGTACTAATACTGCTACAGCTATTGCTACTATTACTACTACTGCTTCTATTACTAGTCCTACTACCATGACTACAGTTACTACTGTTACTGCTAGTATTATTATAACTTTTACCACTACTATTAGTACTACTACAACTGCTACTGTTGCTCTCCCTCTTACTATTTCTATTAGTACTGTGATCACTATCACTATTACCACTCCTACTAATCCTGCCACTGTCATTAGTACAACTATTACTATTACCACTACTACTATCACCATCAAACTATCACTTTTACTGTACACTAAAGGCTAAAAAAACAAGTTGTTTATAAAAATGTCAGCAGAAAAAGTCTAATTGATCCAATTATGTAAAAACTCAAAATCTTTAGAGAATAAAAACAGAATGCTGCCTTTCCACTTTTCTTCTGGTTTACTGTAGGGGTGTGCAGCATTCAGTAACTGTAATGCAATCATTAAAGGAAAAAACATCTAAAAGATCAAGTAGAAACTTCAAGTATATTCTAGAGGAAACAGGACAACCAGTGCAACCAGATCCTTGATGCATTATTATTTCAGGCCACTGTTAAACCCTTAATGACAGTAAACATGTTTATGTTGAAATGACCGAGCTTTCTTTTCTGGCTTTGGGTTTTTTACAGCTCCGCTCTTTGAGAAGTCCGATAACGTGATGAAGGAAGGGACGTGCTCGGCTACATGTGAAGACTTTCATCAGATCAAAATGACCGTTTTCCAGCTTAAACAGAAGGTACCAGTTACTGGTTAAATTTCAGGCATTAATCCCTTGAACACTGGGCTTCTTTTCCAATTATTAACCCCTTAAACTCTGTTTCTGTGGGTCTGTATGTGGGTTCACCCCTCAGTTCCTCACTCTAATAACTACAAAACTTACACTTTAGTTTCACAGTAGTTACTGAATAATTTATGGAGTTACTGAGTCTTAAGGTTAATACTGAATAGTAAGTCATGTGCTGTGCTATTTAAATGTGATTACACAATTGACAATCAATTACATTGTTAGTTGTGTAATTAACCCCTTATAATTCTGTTCCTAAAGCTTGTGATTCTGTGACTACATGGAAATCACTGCAGTCTGGCTGAGTTATTCTGAGTGTGAAAAGGAAGGCTGGATCTGTCGATGGGTTCTAGCCATTAAGTTACATTTGGCTTACGTTCTATATTAATAGGTTTGTTCCAATGTTAAAACATTACAAAAATGTAAAAGATGTTCTTTTGGCAAAACAATACTGTGCACCACTTTTCATCTGATTCATAATGAAACATCCCCATTAGGCCATTGACCGCTGTACTGGTCTTCTATAGCAGACAAAAACACTGATACAGCACAAGCTTAGCTGTCTTGCAGTTTTATTGTATAGAATATCATAATTTTAGAATATTTATTTTTATATTCAATTTTTTTTAACTTGACTCTTATAAATGGATTCTGAGCACATTTTGAGGACTAAGGACTGTGTCTCTAATAACAGTGTAGTTACATATTAACAAAACATACAATTGCAATTTAACTACTAGTGATCTATTTGCTGTTATAGATGGACTACAGTCACACAGCTGATGCAAACATATATATCAACAAATATACACAAGTGTATCTTAACAGTTGGAACAGCATAGTTTCTCTTATGTAATTACACATAGGGTGAGAGTAATTACATTTGTGTGAACAGCATTTTTTAACAAGACTTTTCTGAAGCTAACTGAATGTGTGTAATTACCAGCAATATTAATAGTGCTTGCACTGTATCTGCACAGGAAATGCAAACTTTCCTAACACTTATCTATCTGTAATAGCAGGCTTGTGTTATGACATGATAACCCAACCAAAGTTCTGGCTTTAAACCATTCTGTAATATGATGGTATTTAAACAGCAGTTTACCCTATTACACATGTGTAATTACACATAGACGAAATATACATAGGGAAAATATGCTGTGTATCCAGATACACTTATGTATACTTGTGCATACACATGTGTATTACATAAGCTGTACTACCATAATCCATTTGTAACAGTGAATACATCACCAACAGTTATGTAAATGTTAAATGTATTGTTAATGTTTAACTACACAGTTATTAGAGACATTAATACAAAGAGGGACCAGTTTACTTATTTTCCGCTATATGATCTGCTCATAATATTACACTCTCAGAAATAAAGGTATGAAACTGTCACTGGGGCAGTACCCCTCTTGTCACTGGGGTGGTACTTATGTACTTAGGGTACGAAATTACAACTTAAAACCACTGTTCTACCTTTGAGGGAACATTTACTTTGTTTGTACCTTGATTAATGAAAAATGTACCTGCAGTGTAGAAGAGACAAAAACAGTGAAAAGCGATCATGCTATCTACTTAATCTCTTGATTTTTCTATACTTGTTTAAAACTTTATTAGTAAAGAGTAAAGGCAGTGTCACTGTATAACTTATAAAACTCAATATGATTACATTAAGCGATGATAACAGCAACAACATAACTAAATGAAATGTCTTTCATTTGATAAGATGGCGAAAACTGAGACACCTAAGGTTAAAATTATTTCTGCACAGGAATGCAGACTAAAGAACTAAGAGAAGTTACTAAATTATGTGTTTTAAGATTAATAACTGAATAATAAGACTGCAGACTAACGGTGTTATTCAGTAATAAATTACGCATTATTGGGTAGCTATGAAGCTAAAATGCATGTGGGTAAGAGAAGCTTTAAGAGGTTAAACATTGAGCACAGGTTTTGTTACCTGTTAAATTCTATACATTAAGACGAACATGATGCTTTATAGTTACATTATACATGTGTTCATATTTAGAGCTCAATGTCTGTATGATAGTATTTCATGAACAGTGCTGGACTGGTCAGAATACAGGCCTGTAGGGACCGGCTGGTGAGTTTATATGTTAATAAAACCTGATTGAAATGACCTCAGCGCTGGTGCAGTGACCTCTGGCCGTCCTTGGCAGCTGCAGGTAAACCTGAGTGGAAAGAGAGCAAGAAAGAAAAAGATGGAGAGATGTGATGTCAGTGTGAAAATGAGAGGAAAGCAGGTGACCTTTTACTGTTCTGTCAGCAGAATGTATTCAGCCCTCTGCAGAATCATGTACAGATTACTGCAGAGAGAGAGAGAGAGAGAGAGAGAGGGAGCGAGAGAGGACAACAACAGAGAGAGAGGAGAGATGGAGAGAGAGAGAGGGAGAGTGAAAGAACATGGTGATGGAAAAGAAGAGAGAGAGGGAGCGAGAGAGAGAAGAGGAGAGGGGGAGCAGGAGAGAGAGAGAGAAGTGGGGGAAGAGAGAGAGGGAGGGAAAGAGAGGGAGAGAAGAAAGAGAAAAGAGAGAGGGAGGAAAGTGAGAGAGAGGAGAGATGGGGAAGAGGAAGAGGGAGAGAGAAAGAACAGGGTGAAAGAAAAGGGAGAGAGAGACAGAAAAAGGGTTAGAGAGAGAAGAGGAGAGGGGGAGGAAGAGAAAGAGAGGGAGATGGAGAGAGAGAAGAGGGAGAGAGGGGGAAGGAGAGAAAGAGGGTGGGAAAGAGAGAGGGGAAAGAGAGAAAGGGGAGGGAGAGAAGACGGATGGAGAGAAAAGGAAGAGAGGGGAAGAGATAGAAGAGGGAGTGAGGGGACAGAGAAAGAGAGACCGAATGGGAGAGAGCAGAGGAAGAGAGGGGAGCGGGAGAGAGAGGGAGAGAAAGAGTGGGAGAGAAAGTAGGGAGAGAGAGAGTGGGAAAGGGGGGAGAGAGAGAAGTGGGAGAGAGAGAGGAGACAGAGAAAGAGAAGGAGAGAAAAAGAGAGACAGAGAGAGAAAGAGAAAGGGAAGGAGAGAGACTATATTATTATTTATATTAAGCACTTTTTTATTGTTTTGGCGACAGTTGTTAATCGCAGTTCACGTCAGTAAAGCTGTTTGAAACTCAAACTGAGAGTAAGACAGAGAAAGAGAGAGCAGAGAGAGCAGAGAGATAAAAGAAAAGTGGGGATAGAGAGGAGGAGAAAGGTGAAGAGAGAGAGAGGAAGCTTGTGGGGCTGAAAACTAAATTAGGAACAGAGCTGATGAATCTGAATGTGGTTTTCAGCTGGTGTGTGTTTATGATGACAGTGAGTCGACTGTGTTTGTTTGTTCCTGTATTATGAAATTTGATATCTTGTTTCTATCATGTTGACTAATGTGAAGCTTGTGAGTAATAAACAGTTTTGTTTGCCTGTTGTTGTGCTGTATCTATGTGATAGCATGCTTAAACTGTGGCTTGTGCAGAAGTTACGGCACATTTTACACTTTGTTTTATTGTTTTCCAATATGTTAAATTCAGCAAATTAATAGAAATTGTGCATTAAAATTTGCAAAAAATTCAACAAGACATGTAAGTTCACTGTAGGTCTTCAAACTTTGCATATGACTGTATTTCTGCTAATATAAGCAGACTAGTAACTTTGTTTAGTATGTAAATGTAGTAGCGTATTATTTTTCAATTTTCTTCGGTTTGCTCTTTAAGACCATATCCAGTAATTTAAGTTAGCCGAGCATTATAAGCAATTTCAAGTCATGACTACAGCAGGAATTTCCTGGATAGCCTTAGAAGTTCCAGCTACAGCCACTCAGTCACAGTTGCCTGGAAATGACCCTTCTTTTATTCAGTAACCCAAGGTCATCTTCCACTGACTGCTGTGCTCTGGGCTCTAACAGGCCTTCCTAGATTGATGCCTACCTTAAAGCTGAGTGGAGACAGTCGCTAGAGTGTTATTTAAGAACCATCCTAACAAAAGGATTTGTATGAAATGGTAACTTCAGAGCTCTGCTGCTATAATCACAATGTTCAGAGGACACTCAGAGCACCGTGGGAAATGTAGGAAAACCCAAAATATGCCCACTTCTCAACTTTAGCACACACACACACACACACAAACCCACACACACCACACTCACACACATACACACACTCACGTGTTTCCTATAGAAAAGCCAAATGGCTTTTAAATTGCTTACAATCGGCTGAATTCAGACACTCATATAGATTTATGTCTGAAAGCCTGAGGCTAAGGCTGCTGCACGCTGTGCAGACTCCGAGGTTAGAGGTGTGTGTGTGTGTGTATGTGTGTGTGTGTGTGTGTGTGTGTGTGTGTGTGTGTGTAAGCATGTTGTAAAACAGGAAAAAAGCAGGACTAACACAAAGCTCCTGACTTTGTAAAGTGCTTTTTAGCAAAGCTCCATGTTTCAGTTTTGGAAACAAAAATGGCAAACCTTTTCTTTGAGATACTGGCTAAGATTAAAATATGTAATAAATATATGTAATAAATCCGTATTACATATATGTACTTTATGTACTCAGAGACCACTATTCATTTATTTCCAGTTAAAACAACCATTAAGTACAAAATGTATAATTTTTCAGCAGATATTTTTGAAGAGAATTGTTTATACACGTAATAACTGTGTAACACCTGGTAGACCACCAAAACTGTCTGATAAACAGCACTTAATGCTTGCATCTTTGAGAGAGAGGAGAAAATCAAGCTCAGATCTGAAAACATCCACAGGTGTTTCTGTTCATCCTTCCACTGTCCACAAGACAACTCAGCGCTATGGGTCTGAAAGGATGTGTAGCTGTCAAGAAGAACCTCACTGAGAAAAGGAAACAGACAAAAAAGAAGAAAACTTGAAAATCAAACATAGAAGCTGGAAGCAGAAAATGCAACCAACTTCTAAGACTGAACTTCAGAGAAAAATATTGCTGCAGATTTCTTTGAAAAACAGAAAGCAAGACTTCCCCCTAGAAAATTGAAGCTGTAGAAATGGAAAGAGTAGACACCCTAAATACTGAAAATATGGTAATGCTTTATTTGGAGTGGGCTTTGTAAATGATTAATAAACTCTTAACAGATTATCAGTAACACATTAACAACATATCAGTGAAGTAGCAGTACTGAAGCATCTGAATACACTGAAGTAAATGTCTTGTAGATGTTCTGTTGACACATTACTTACATTAAGTAGATGTTTTGTTAATACGTTGCTTCCATTATGCAAAACTCAACCTTACCCTACCTTACCCAAAACCTAACCCTAACCCAAAACCTAACCCTAACCCTCATATAATTTTGATATGTCACTGAGAGTCTGAGAGTGTTGAGTGTTTGTTTAATCTAAAAGGACCACTTTTAGTCGCTTTTACAAGGAATAACTTGCACTTAATGGCAATTGTAACTAGAAATAATAATAATATTATAAAGGTAGACATCTGACTTTCACATATTACATAATACATTTTGGAAATATTATTATTACATATAGATTGTTACATACACATAATGCATATGGGACATATTACTATTATATATGTTCTTGCATATATATATGTAAAATATATAGGACACATGCATGACCCTATGTCCTTACAAGGTATAAAAACGTGTGTCTGTGTGTGTCCTGCCATCTAAAGCTTTGCGGGTCACAGGTAACAGATCCCTCCACTGCTCTCTGAGATCCACTCTTTGAAGTGTGGGGCGCTCGCTGCTTGTAAAAGGTGCGTGTGGCGATGTGGAGACATGGCCGTGCATTATTCAGGACTTCTGCACAGATGTTACAGCTTATGGCTTAGATTACATGCTAAAGGTTAGTTCAGACACACTCTCTTTTACGGTCCTCTCTGCTGCTGTTGGTATTAATCATACTATCCTGTCAGGTCACGTCATATGAGACGTCCACTGAAGTACCTAACCGGTCAGGCCTTTAGCCTCCTGAACCTGCCTTCTTACATCAGCCTGGTCACTCTGTGATCTGAACATCTCTGTTTCAATACAGTGTGAGAGAAGGTGGGAGAGAGTGAGAAAGAAAGAGAGAGAAAAGAGGAGAGGTGGAGAAAGTGAGAGCAAAGAAAGAGAGAGAGTGAGAAGAGATAGAGGAATAGAAGAGAAAGTGGGAGAGAAGGAGCACAGATAGAGAAGGAGAGAGGGGGAATAGTGAGGGAAAGGGAGAGAGTGAGAGATAAAGACAGAGAGAGACAAAGAGGGAGAGGATTGAGGGCGAGTGAGAGAGAGAAAGAGCAATATAGAAGGAAGGAAGAGAAAGAAACAGGGGAAAAGAGAGATAGTGAGAGAGAAATAAAGAGAGGGAACAGAAAGAAAGGTGCAAAAATGAGAATGAGACAAATAATGAGAAACTGTGAGAAAGATAGAAAGAAAAACAGAATGATGGAGAGAAGCAGAAAAAGGGACAGAACAGAGTGGAAAACGAGCAAACGAGAGTGAGAGAATCAGCCACAGAGAAAGAGAGAGAGAGAGAGAGAGAGAGAAAAAGAGAGAGAGAGAGGAGAAAAACATAAGTAAAATTGGAGAAAAAATGAAATGGTGTGGGCAAAAAAGAGGATGGGAAAGCAAAAGGTAGAAGGAGAGCAGGTATAAAAGACAGAGACAGAAAGATAGAGAAAGAAAGAGAAAAAATTGCGTAATTATTACTCTACATTGTAACTCTCGATAACTCTCTCTCTCTCTCTCTCTCTCCTCTCTCTCTCTCTCTCTCTCTCTCTCCATCCCCCTATCCTATACTGTCCATTCCACAGATAACCATGTTGACAGGCAACTCTGAGGCCAACAAGCAGATGACCCACGAGAAGATGTTGACGCCACATTCCTTCATACCTGGACCTCCGGGGCAGCCTGGACCGCCCGGTAAGCATCAGACCGATGATCAGACTGGACAGTGATAAGCTATATCTACATCTTTATGCCCAGCAACCCCTGAGCAACTACCTAGGATACCATAACGATGGCCCAGCCACACCTTAGCAACCTGGGATTACATAGCAACAGCCTACCACCCCCTTAGCAACTACCTGGGATTACATAGCAACGGCCCAGCAACACCTTAGCAACCAACTAGGATACCATAGCAATGGCCTAGCAACACCTTAGCAACCAACTGGGGTACCATAGCAATGGTCTAGCAACACCTTAGCAATCAATTGGAATACCATAGCAATGGCCTAGCAACACCTTAGCAACCAACTGGGGGACCATAGCAATGGTCTAGCAACACCTTAGCAAGCAAATGGGATACCATAGCAATGGCCCTTAGCAACCTGGGATTACATAGCAACTTCTAATATCTGTCAGTGATTGATGATTTTATCATACCTTTTGTTTTCATTTTTAAAGATAGTCCACTGAGTGTTTTGTATTTTTAGTGTTCGTTACAGTGGGCAGGGTTGCCATGTTTAGTAAAAATCCTCAGCCCAAAGTTTGCTTAAAAGCCACCTACCAGAAGCTGAAACTGTAGCATTTTTCTCTCGTGACTGCACTTTTAAATTAGCCTGGCTTGGTGGGAAAACTATGAACCTGGCGACTCTGACGATGGGTTACGTTGTAATTTGGTTTCATGTGAAAACTGTATAAATTTGGTTCTTTTTTAGTTATTACTTTAATAATCCTGTTGCTTTCATCATAAACCACAATTCCAATCAAAAATCAATTTGTCAACTCATTCCCAACTTCAATCATCTTGAAAATGAATTGCAGGCAGCGTTTGGCAGCTTCACAGATGTTTCAACATGTATCAGTGTTATAACGTAGCGTATTGGCGGCAGCTACTGACTGAGCATGAATCAGTGCTGGTGCTGGCCGGAGGACTTGTTCTAGTGCACTGTACCTGCTGTTTTTTCGCCTGGCTGAGGATTCAAACTTTTCTCCACTGCCTTTAACAACGTCTGTTTCCTCTTATATGGATGTATAACAAATCTGACTGCATTCTGTTTGCAGGCCTTGGATCAGACACTGTACATTATTACAGAGAAACAAAGACTTATAGTACAATTTCTGTCCAAGTAATTCTAGATCCTGAATTATTATTCAGTGCCACAATCCTGGAAATGGTACTGTTATCTTCTACTATAACACTCTCTCTCACTCTCTCTCTCTCTCTCTCGCTCTCTCTCTCTCTCTCTCTCACTTTCTCTCTCTGTCCAAGTCAGAAAACCACAACCTATTTTATGCATTAGTATGTGATCACTGTTGTTCCAAACTGGTAACTATATAGAAGAAGAAAAACTTTTGAACTTTTAATATATGTTAATGCCACAAGATTTTGTTCCAAGTAGTTTTGGACCGTTTCTATCAGTCCGTTTATCATTAAAAGACAGCTGGTGTTTTCACATTTTCTCAAGCTGGTGTTTTAAAAAAAAAAGGTAAAAACTGAAAAAATGACAGCTTTTCCAAGCTTCTGATATGACAGTGATGATATTAGGAACATTTTAGATGTCTCTGATCAAATTTGTTTTACCTGTTTGGTGACATGTTATTTTAACACTGTTTGGCTCAACACTGTTTGTTTTAGAAGCACTATATAGGACTGGGTGTTGTTCAAAAGCTGAACAATAACTTTATGTAATACATTTTTTTAATTTACAAATGGAAAATGGGTGTGGCTTAAACCATGAAAAATAGTGTGAGGTGCTTGGAAGGTGTATTTATTGACCACTACAGCTTTCAGTGTAATTACAGAATAATAATCCTTATGATGTAATAAAAGTGAGGTTTTGGTTAATAATATGCATACAGAATGAAACTTAAAGAGCCAATCACTAGTCTAGATTTTGGAACTAGCATGCTTATTGGCTCATGGATGCTGTTAAGACCAACTAATAAATATAGAATCTTTTTTGAGAATTTTTCAATGCTAGTATTTTTGTAGTACCACAAAATAACTACGCTTTGTCCATGAATTTGTAGTTCATTTCAACATTACAGTTATATGCAAAGGTTTGGGCATCTCTGCTCAAATTCTAAATTTATTGATTTTCTAAGTGAAAATAAGTGAACACAGTTTCTACAGAGAACACACATTAGCACATTTCACATAATTACTGCTATTTACATAATTACTGTTTATTTGCTGAATTTAATATTATGGAAAAATAAAACAGACAAATACGGAAGTCCAGAGAGGTCATGAGGTAGTTATAATTTTCTGGAGTTAATTATCTTGAAGTTAATTATCTTGTTATGTCAAGATAACAAAGTTGTTATCTTGAAATAACAAGTTAGTTATTTTGTTATCTCGAGATAACAAAAGTTGTTATCTTGAGATAACAAGTTGATTATCTTGTGATCTCAAGCTAAAAAAGTTGTTTTCTTGAGATAATGAGTTAACTGTCTTATAATCGCAAGATAACAAGGTTGTTATCTTGAGACATCAAGTTAATTTTCTTGTGATCTCAAGATAACAAAGTTCACTTCATATCTGAAAAAGTTTAAAATAAACATGCGTTAGATAGGCAAGCTCACTCTCTCTCTTTCTCTCTCTCTCTCTCAGGGAGTCCAGGGCCTAAAGGCTCTTCTGGTGCCCCAGGGCATCCAGGCCCTCCAGGTCCTCCTGGCCCTCGGGGTCAAATGGGGCCCATGGGCCCCTCTCCAGATCTCTCCCATGTCAAGCAGGGCCGGCGTGGACCAATGGTGAGATTCTTTAAGATATGTTATCATGGCTTTCCTGGTCAGGCTCCGCCCCATCTGGTCTCCATTCCTCTGTATCCTCCCTTGACCTGTCCAGGCTTTCCCCGCAAATGTGCCCGTTTGTAGCATTCAGCCTAACAAGAAATTAGCTTAGAGCTATATTGTGAGTGTGTTATTGATATTGGTCTTGATAATTCATTCTGTATACATCTGCATACACTCGCACTGTCAGGATAGATTGGATGTGTGTTTGTTTTGTTATGACAGTCAAGCTAACATTAGCATAGATTCTGACATGGATATACAAACATAGATTCCACATTGGGTTCAGCCAGTCATCAACAGGCAGTCAACACAACTGCCAACTCTGTAAAGCAATCTGATCTGCACTGTATACACTTACTGTCTGATGTTTATAATACATCAAATTTGGTAAAACTTGGTGTTTTAAGCAAGTTAGAAGCAATTTAATCAGGAGATCCAAACACATCTCAGTGCACGTTTTTGTTTACAAGTGGTTTTTGACCGTTCCAATATGGCGGACACGAAAACGTATCGCCACAATTGAGAATGTGGTCATCTATGTATGCATATCTATGGATTCTGATGCTGAGGATCTGTGAGGCTTGTCCAACCTCACAACAGTTGCTATGAAAGAATACAATTGCAAAACACTCTATACCCCCCAAAGGCCTAATCACAGTCACATTTCTCCCTCTAAATTCCCTGCTGATTGATCAGCCTCACTGATTCAGGAAGTAAGGTATGAGTGTGTTGAACGTATTAGAGCTAAAATAAGATATTCTGAAATGCCACCTTGATGGTAATAACTGATACTCATCCACACATTTGTCAGGCTGTGTTGAGTGGGCTGGAGGACCATCAGGAGGCTCATGTGATTTCTCCTTTGTTGCTGCCCAGATAAATATGGCACCATGGTAGAGATTAGAGAGCCGTAAGTGTGACGCATTTACTGAACAGAGCCGTTTCTGCTAAGGCTTTACTGAGTAACTACAGGGACTTCAGTGCAAACTGGTTGAGCTATTCTTAGGTTATAGAAGCATGTAATGACTAGTTTGATCAGAAATGGACAAGATGCTAACAAAGCTGGGGTATAGCTACGGGGCACTAGGAAAATATGCAGGGGGCCTCAGTTATAAATGATTAGTCGCATGTGTTGTTCCACAGTCAATAAAAATATAAGGTCATTGATTAATCTTATTGATTGTAAAACACTCTATACCCCCCGAAGGCCTAATCACAGTCACATTTGTCACAAAGTCACAGTCACAAATTCCCTGCTGATTGATCAGCCTCACTGATTGAAGAAGTAAGGTATGAGTGTGTTGAACATATTAGAGCTAAAATAAGATATTCTGAAATGCCACCTTGATGGTAATAACTGATACTCATCCACACATTTGTCAGGCTCATGTGATTTCTCCTTTGTTGCTGCCCTGCTAAATATGGCACCGTGGTAGAGATTAGAGAGCTGTCAGTGTGACACATTTACTGAACAGAGCCATTTCTGCCCAGTCAGGGTGGCGGAGTGACCTGCGGCCGCTGCTGACTGAGACACATTCACACTTTCACACTTACTTTAACAGGCTAGAGCTAAGCCTCATTACACTTCCACACGTTCCTCTGCAGCCCAGCAGGCGCAATGAATTAACAACACACACACAATCACACTTATACACTCATTCTCTCAGGCTGTCGTGTGCTCTCTCCCTCTCTCTCCCTCTCTCTCCCTCTCTTTTCCTCACTTATCACACACACACACACACGTTCAAATTACAGATGCTGTTAGTCATGTCAGGTTTATTCACATTAACCTTGGCACACTTATCATCACCCTGAAGCATATGAATGTTATGCCGAGGGAGGGTTTCACTAAGTTCATGACTGCTTGTACACCCAGAGCGCACTCATTTATTTTAGACAGCACAAATACCGTACATTGTTTTTGCACAGCTGAGACGCAGAGTGCAGTTTTCAGTTTGTGCTGTACATATTTGGCCAGTTCGTGTCTAGGTCCTTGTTGATTTGTTCACAACTAGTTCTTTGTTCATTTAACATTGTGTAGGCCTCTGTACTGATACCAGCACACTTCCGTGGAAGTGTTCACTTCTGTTTTGTCCAGCAATACGATGATGCACTATACTGTTAGAAAGCTTGAAATCTCAGGATTCAATTCCTCCAAACCATTTTGTAATCTGTTCTTCACATGATCCTTTCATTTGCAATATAAGCACTGAATGAGCAGACGCTACCAAATCTTTGGGACCTCACCTTCAAAGCCTCCTTCATTCTAGCTTCTGTCATTCCGTGTCAGTATTTCATGCAATTATTCTGATTCAGGAACAATAAACTGCAGAGTGTGACCTTTCAAATGAGTCATGACTGTAGCCAAAAGTATGTGGGAATGAGGAGCTCCTTTTACTTTTACTTTTACAAAAATGTGGTGACAGTTAAAAGGTTACCCTCTTAAAATCCCAGGCTTATTACATACTAATGAGTATGTAATAAGTAACGACAGACTTCAGTGCACTGGTTCAGCTATTCTTAGGTTATAGAAGTGTGTAATAAAACTTTGGGTCTGCTGGTGGGCCCTGGCCTTTAACTTATTTGGCTAGTTTATGGCTAGATCTTCATTCACCAGGCTAGTTCATGGCTAGATCCTCATTTGTTTAGCTACTTAATGACTAGTTCTTTGTTTATTTGGCTTGTTCATGGGTACTTTGTCATACAATGCATTTTCCTAAACCGAAAACTCTGTCCGTTTTATCATAAATGGATACTTATAACAAGATGCTAACAAACCAGGGGTATAACTATGGGGGACTAGAAAAATATGTGGCCTCAGTTGTTCAGTTGCTTTCTTGCTAGCTAGTGTATCTGATTGACTGGTTTTTCTGGCTAAATGGAAGCTTATTGCTGTGCTCAAGTAACTTATTCCAAGCATATAATATAATATTGGTGTGGTCAACTTTGAATATTGTTTCTCCTGGACGTTGACTTTAAAAAAAAAATGTTCTCTAAGGAGTTTTGTAATGACTTATGAAGGAATTTGGTGATGTCTTAGAAAGAAGTCAGCTGGTTGACATCCTGTAGTGATGTCTTTGATGATGTCTCTGGTTTGTAATGCTAGCTAGCTGCTCCACTGACTTGTAAACAACCCCTAAAATGAAGTTCTGGCTACACCACTGTAACAGACAGTTTTGACTAGTCAGCAAATTGCTAAATATAACAACAAAATCCAACAAAAACAGAGACATTAATGATAATAAAATAGGAAAAGTGATTTTTCCCTGTTTCCCAGTTCTCCTTTAAGCCAATTGTATTCAGTTACATTGAAGCATCCCTGGTGAAACTGAAGTGAAAGCTGGGTTTGAAAAAGCTCAGGCTGTAGCAGCAGGTGTCCAGTTCCAGCAGGACAGTGTAGCGTTAGGCCGTGCCCAGTCAGGTCACCTCCATGTGGGCTAGTGCTGACCTCCAATAACTCTCTGGAGGGACGCCGCTGCAGCTGTGGCCAAGACTAGAGCACAATGCATGAGTCCAGTATTGTCTTTTTCTCATACTGTTCTCATCTCTGTCATATTTAGATCAAAAATACAGACAAAATACAGGCTTCAAGAAGGTTGCTACTACCACTACTGTGTTTGGGGTAAGGGAACGAATGTCAGTCTGTCTGGTTACCTTTGTATAAATTGCACACCTCTACATTCACTGGCCACTTTATTAGAAACTCCTACCTTATTTCCACTCACTGTCTACTTTATGAACTCCACCTACCTTACAGATCCACTATACAGGTGTACTATCACAGACCGCAGCTCACCTGTGGCTCTACAATTTATCTCTCCCTCATTTTGCTTTCCACGTTCATCATTGGTCAGTTTCTGACCACAGGACTGTTGTTGTCCAGATATTATTTGGGTGGTGGATCATTCTCAGCACAAAAAAATGAGAGGTTGAGAGTGGCCCAAAAATACCCAGGGGTGGAGAAATTTTACTTTATTATTACACTTTAGTATTATTTTGGAAGATTTAGTAATTGTGAATTATTAAATTGAATAGTGGTACTATTTCTTCTACACTGCATTAAAGTACAGATATTCAATGTAAGCAGTCAATGTAAAGAGATATTCAATGTAAGGAGTCAAAACATACTTTTTATTCCCTACATTGTAATTTAGACCTTCAATGTTCTTGTTTTATTCTTGATTTTTCTATTTTTCTATTGCAATTCAAGTTTCTGCATTTCAAATGAATCAGTTCAATTATTTATTCAATTATTGAAACCAGATCAGATTTATATCATTGTAAAATGAAACTGCCCATAACTATGTTTACATTTATTGTTTGTACAATTTAATTGTTTTTGTTAAAGCACAGCCTTAATCTTGATAAATTGTAATAGCAGTAGCAGGGGAAAGGGCTGAATGCATTAGCATGCAGGTTGTGTTTTGTTTGGCTGGCTCGGGTCCTGAGGTCCAGCCATTAACATGCCTGATAGTGCTGACCTTTGACCTCTCACTATTGGTGCACTAGACTGCATCACACTAGTGAAGAAGGAAAATGCTTATTTGTCAGAGTAATATATGAACGCTGGACGCAGAACCATTCAGCTGCACGGCTCTCAACACCCCAGAGTTAGCCTTCAGTTGTTTTTTTTTGATGACCTTGAGTGAGTTGGAAATCTGCTGTTTTCTTCTTTTATTCTCTGCTTTAAAAGTTGACGTATGACCAAGTATGCGGAATAATTGCGTTGTTACTGGCCTCTTAAGTCCACTTGAGCTGAAACGGGTGTCCGTTAGGATTCTATGTGTGTTCGTAAACCAATCTTGCAGACTGGAACATTGTTGCTCTAAAATTTTGGAAAACTGTGGAATGTCTGGCATGTCTGAGTGTCCGGGGATGCATGCAGTGTGTTTATGTGCCTGTGTGAGTGCGTTTGTGCTTAAACGTGTGTATATATGTGAGTGAGTGCGAGTGCATGTGGGAAAAGTTTTGCAAATCAACTCCTTCAGTCTCCAATGGTCCATTTACATACACATAATTTTAGGGTGTGTCGTAGACAGATGAAGTTACTGCTGGCTCTATGTAATACCTTCATACAAACACTATATCAGCATTAAACCAGCAGTTTTGGATGTAAGATTCATTTCATACAGTCCGTATGTGCTGTTGCTGGCAAGTTAGCCATACCACAGGCACACCAACATGAATTAATTGTGGTAGTAACCCCTTAATGCAGAGGCTTTAGGGAGAACAGAGCATCTTAAAATTCAACAAAAAAATCAAATTAGTAAGGTTTTGACAAGGTATGCACAATAATATGTTGATATTGGCAGATATGTGTAAAAAAAATCAGCATCTGACAGATATTTAGATTTGAGCAATACATCAAATCAGTATGTGGTGATATATTTGTTGTACTCTGGAATAGCAGAATGTTTAAGTGATGCAGGGCTACTGAACTAAAATACCTGCATTATATAGCATTTCTAACCTTATACAAATAAGTACCACATTTCCCCTCAATGCTAATCCAGATCTAGTCGCATACATTCTACATACAGTACTGGGAGATATGTACACAAAAAATAGCAGATATTGACTCTGGCCTGCAGTTCTCATATCAGTGCATCCTCAGTTTCGACTTTGATACATCACAGTTATTATTTACCACATCAGGGAAAAATGAAGTGTATGTCGCTGTTGTCGGAACAAAACCTCGTATCTCCAAAATGGTCACTTTACAAGAGTAGGAAAAACATACTTTACCTTTAATGTAAGTCAATGGAACCAGACTTTTTTCCAAGTAATTCTGGGCCATTTATTTTGGTCCATTCTTCATGAAATTTACTCACAATGTAAAGAGCAACAGGCATTTTTAAATAACGTCCAAAACTGAAAATTGGAGATACAAGGTTTTGTTCCGACAGCAGCGATATCTTAGCAACCAAACGAGTCGGAGCAAAATCTTATTTAATTTGCTAGGTCATAATTAACAGTCAGTGTCCATACCTGAATATTACTATTATTAATGGCTAATCATGTGTGTCTCATTTCATTGTTAAAGGGCCCACATCATGGACAACTGAATTTACCTCACTTTTTAAAAATAAACTTTGATGTACCATGTAAACATTGTTTCACTTCCTACTCCATACAGTCCATATATGAACACTAAGCTGCAAAAACAGCCTGTTTTAAATTCATTGTTTTTGTGATGTCATGAAAAGCAGCACTTTTTCACTATTCAGTCTACAGCAGTTTAGCTTCACCCATCCATTTATTCATTCATTCATTCATTCATATATTAATGTTATAAGTGTGTCATCCTGGACTGCATTTTGGATGAGGTTCAATGCAAGGCAGCCAATCAGAGCAGAGATCATTTACATATATCAGTCTTAAAGGCACAGTAGGAAAAACAGCCTGTTTAGGGGGTAAAGAGAGGCTAAAAAAATGGCATGTGAAAAGGATTTCTGGCTGTTTTTGGTACCTAAATCCAAATAAGTGTAATTATGATTACAAGAAAAATGTGAGATATGGGCCCTTTTAAGTATGCACACCATTATTTTGTGATGTTCTAAGAATGTATTGATTCATCATGCTGTAAGAATTATTTCAAATATTTAAATATGCTTATTAAAGTTAATATTAAATGGTCTTTCATGTGGATTAAGTATTCAACATGTGTATGTTTTTGTTTTGTTCTGCAGGGTCCTCCCGGTGCTCCAGGCAGAGATGGCATGAAGGTACAGTGTGTTTTCAGTGTTTCCAGCACCTCTAACCCCTCTCCTCTGCAGCCTTCCAGCCCCCCGGGCTGTTTTCCTCTAACGGAATGCAAAACATTCCCGAAAGCTGGATGAAGATGTTTAAAATCCATTCAGAGCTATCAGTAATGAAATAAACCTTTGCGACAGAGAGAGCCAAAAGAAAAAAAACAAAGCGAAAATGTTTCTCTACGGGTGAACGGGGATGAATTAACGGCCCCTGCGGCGCAGTCTCTGAACACTCTGATTGCATCCCTGCAATGGTAAATATGATTCATTGATTACACCGTGGAATATCGACAGACAAAACACAGAATTCTTCAGTTTGTCAGGCTGATTCTTGTTGCAGCTATGTTTGCATCATATTTATTTGGATGACTCACTGCAAAAACAGACAAGTACACAAAATAGCACATCAATAAGCTATTCTGGCAGTTTGTGCTGCCATAGATCCATGTGTTATGTAAGCTTAAGCCACATTTGCTTTGAATAACCTCTTATAAACCTACAATATGTGGCCTAAATTGGCCTTGTGAAGCTGAGTATTGGATCTAATCCAAGAAGCAATATGTTAGATTGCCTATAGTTGGCTGCAGAATCCTCTTGGATGAGACTGCAGCATTAAACTAGATTAAATTAATGGTTTTAAATCTCAGTCAAGTGAATCTCTCAAGTGTAGCTTCTAAAATTGTGTTTGCTCACCATGAAGTTTGTGTATGCATCAGTTTAAGGTCAACATAGAGAAACAGAAAGACTTCAAGTAGTCAGTTATAGTGCAAGTATTTTACAAATCTGTTCCAGATAAAAAATAGAATAACACTGAATAAGTAAAAAATATGAGGATGATTGCAGATAACATGCTTAAAAATATAATTTTTAAAGTGCCAGAAATTATCCAGAACCCCTTTTGGTTCCTTAAAGCAGCAGTTCTCAAGCTGGCGGTTCTCAAACACTATATCTAAAGATGGTGAATTAAACATTATTAAAATTGAGTATACATGTCACCCAATCACAATTTGTGGGCACAGATTTTTCCAAATTTCTGTATAATTTAGTATTTGAGCTGTAAAAGACTTTGAAAGTGGTTTAATGTGAACACTTTATAATACCTTTTATTAACTGACCATTAATAGCTGTGAACAGTGTCTGCAGCAAATGGACAAGAATTGTGATGTTCTCATCAGTTTTTCAAAGTACTGAACTCTGTTTTCTTTACCATGGTCAAGTACTGTTATGACCAGCTAGGTAAGTAGCCTATAAGAACTAGCACAGCTCAGCTAAGTTCTCAGGAGAAACTATAGAGCAGGCTAAAGCTGTGTTTGCATGTATCTGTGTAAACACTGGCATGGGGACAGCATCCGCTGAAAATTGGCAATGATCTAAGGAGAGCTTTGTCTGTCTCTTTGTTTTAAGGGTAAAAAAGTCATAATAATACAAGAAATGACCACCTTGCATTTTGTATTTTGTTTGTTGGCAATTTGTTTTTAAATGTTGAGAAATCACCAGAACCTCCTGTAGCTTCACTCCTGCTTAGATATGTGAGTGTGAAGAACCTTTTTAATACTTAAAGAACACAGTGTAAAGGTTCTACACTAATATTCTATACAGGTTAAAGCTTTTTCATACACTCTTTAAAAAGGTGCTTTTCCAAAGGTTCTTTAATAAATAAGAAAATGGTTCTGTATAGAACTACGAACTTTTTGAAAATGGTTCCATATGGCACCAGAAAAGGTTATTCTATTATTATGATATCAAGCTTGTAAGTAAAGAAGAACCTATATAGGTGCTATATAGAACCTTTTTCAAAAAGTTTCTATATGGAACCATCCGCAGCACAGTCTCCGTCAATCTGAAGAACACTTTCATGATGCAAAGAACCCTTTACTCATGCAAAGGGTTCTTTGACTGTTCATGGTTCTATATAGAACTATTTTTTTTCACTAACGCACCTTTGAAGAAGCATATTTTTAAAGAGTGTAGAACTGTATGTCCAAGCCAAGAACCATTTAGAAACCTTTATATTTAGAGGGGAATTCCACAGAGAGAGGAAGTAGTGGAGAAAATGATTCTATATAGAACCATGAACGCTCAAGGAACACTTTGCATTTGCATCATGAAAGCATTTTTCAGATCGATAAAGAATATAGAATTCTATATAGAACCATAGAACCTTGAAAAGGGTTCCATATAGCAGTATATTTAGATAGTATATTTAGATATATTTAGAGGGGAATTCCACAGAATTTTCTAACTTTTTACATAATTCAGTTGTTAAGATGTAAGAAAAGTCATTCTGTGTGTTTCAATGTGAAATCTGACATTCTAGAAAACTTAATCAGAATTGTTCACAGTGGTGGTGATAGGAACCAGACATCCAGAGCATGTAATGCCTGAAAAAGCTACATCATGGAAAGTTTTTACTTGAAATTGTTACAAATATATTGTCTGATATCTGAGACCTGAGACATTGTTTTACGTGTTTTTTATCCAGAATTACATGCAAAATAAAGTAGGCAAAATAGTTCCCAAAGAAAACCTATTTTTTCAGATTTTACCGTCATTAACATTAAAGATGCTTAGAATGCACATTCAGGTTCATTAATCATCCTGAATAATGACAAAATTACTATATTTGTGCTGTAGCCATTGTGACCTCTGGTTCGTATCACCACCACTGTAAAGAAATCAGAGTCAGTGAGTTTCTCTACAATGTGCAATTTCCCATCAAACCACTCTGAAAGATTTGTTTACATCTCAACCACTGAATAATACAGAAATTTGGAAAAATTGGTGGAATTCCCCTTTGAGAGTACGCTATTGCTGTTAGTAGAGGTGTATTTGCACACACACCTTTTGGACCTTGTTTGTAGGTTCAGCTCTTCTGTTATGTTTTTTGAGCTTCTCAGGCACAGATCAGAAACATCTGGCACAGCTTACTAGCGCTGGATGACCTTTTGACCTTCCTTAATCCTTGCACTGGGGTCAGTGTCTGCCCGGCTACATCATGTGTGGCGCTTTATCGTCATACCTCGAGCCAAATGAGCTAGAGATCAGCTCCAAATGGGCCGAGCAACCAGCACTAGCATAACATTTACACAAACTCCACTATCAATGAACTCCTATTTTCAGTTTTTCAGAGCAGTGAAAGATGAACGATATGGCACAGAACAGAACATGGCACTGCTTTAATGATACATGATATGAATATGATATTTAATCTGTTTGAAGTTTGTAAACAAGTTGGAACAGAATGTTCCAGCAAAACAGCAGCATCACATTTAAAATCAATGTTTTTTTGTATAAATTGTTCTCTGGAAATCTAAATATGATGATTTATCATTCAAGCAGATGGTCAGTGTTCTAGCAGTACTGATGACGCCCAGATATGCTCAGAAAAGCGCATTGTGACATATTTTATCACAATAATGATGCCATATTGTCAGATTGCCCACTCCTAAAAGCCGCACGCTGATCTGGAGAACACTGTGCAGTGTAAAACTGGAGCGAGAGTGAAACGTGGAGGGCAGTGTGGGTTTGGAAGTGAGAGTACGCGGCTTGTTTTTTCACGTGTGATCGTGTTACTGGGAGATAACAGAGTAATAACTGTCCTGTAAGGCTTCTCATGGTTTCTTCACTGTAATCCCGCTAACGCAAATATTTGTTTGGATTCTCCAGGGGGAGAGAGGGGCTCCTGGACCTTCCGGACCACCAGTAAGAAGCTCTAATCATGCCACTTCTTCTCATGGTGTCTCTGTCTTTCCTTCACACTGTCTCTCTCCTGTCTCTTTTCTAATCTGTACACTGCCCATCAAAAGTTTGGGGACTTTTTTTTTCAGATTTTCCAAACAGTGTTTTATTTTCACTGTTACTTTTCAATTAGGATAGAAAAATTAACATAACAGTTAGAGGAGCACCTAACGTGGGGAAAAATGTAACACAGCTTTTTTATGGAGTTCAAGTAGAACATGCTTTTAGTCACACTAGTTAAAATAATCATCTGCAAATTTTCACAACAGTCAGACAGATATTACTCCAGATTTACAGTGAAGATGTTTTTGTATCATAAAAGTACCTTTTTCATTTGAACTGGTTTTTTATTACAATTATTGAGTTGCTGACTGAGTAATGTTAATATCTTTCTGTTGGTACCTGTAATATAGTTTACAGTAAGAGCCAGAAAGGCTAAAGTACGGCCTCCACAAGGTGAGGTTGGTTTAACACAGTATTACAACACAGTATCACAGTATTAAGCCCCCCCCCCAAAGTAAACAATGAGAGAAGTCCACATCCCCCTTATAAAAATTTAAGCTTTTTTAAATATTATTTGTTTGTTCATAGATTTACATACAAATAGACAATATAGTTGTATGCAAAAGTTTAAACACCCTGGTTTAACCACATTTATTTTTTTTCCTCAACAAAAACACAATAAGACAATATTCTGCAAATGTTCGAGCACAAATTCCATCTATTTTCTGATTTTAACATATTAGAAAAAATAGACATAAAACATAAAATGTGGCCTGGGCAAAACTTTTGCCACCTCATATATATATATATGTATCTATATATATATATATATATATTTTTTTTTTCCCCCAATGGGTTAAGAGAAGTGTATTCTCTGTAGAGCAGGGGTGTCCAAACTTTTTTCAAAGAGGGATAGATAAGACCAAGACAAAAGAACTGAGGGCCAAAATATTATTCACAACTGATTCAAAAATGTTAAGTTTTCAAAATATGAAAATTCAAACCATGTAGAGCAATGAGTTGAAATGAGCGTCTAGTTGGCGATCTGTTGTGAGAATTTGGTGATAACCCCTTAAACACGTATAAATCTGCCACCAGAGGAGTCCCGAAACAACGCATGCATGTTAAGAGTTTACTGTGAGATACTGTGTCTCTTATCACTGTATAAAAGATGCACAAGGCTTTTTTTTACTGATTGCTCATTCAGAACAATCTAGATTGGTAGGTGCTTATAACAAATTACTGATTTATTTTTTCAGAGCAACAACAAAACGTGACTGTGTTAAGTACGTTCATATTCGTATTTACTTGTTCAAAAATATGATAAATAAAAATCAGTGAATGTTCTGTTTTGTTAAATCATGTTCTATTCAGAAATCACTTTATTAAACAAATGGAGCAGATTAAACAGCATTAATAGCTACAATTTTGTTCGGCCTTAAAGGGTTGAACTTTAGCTAACTTAGTTACCACAGTGTGGCGCCCTGTCTGTGGGCCGTATTTGGCCCTGGGGCCGGACTCTGGACACCCCTGCTGTAGCGAATGTGTGAACTGATTTTCTCTTTAAAAATCAACAAAACATAATTTGACCAGGCCACTTTTACACATGACTGCACATCTAATCTAAATAAATTATATTTAAATTTTATCACGCTGATATTTGCTGTACTCTGTGGCCACTGTATGGCACAGCCTCTTTTCCTTAGTCATGCAGATATCTTAATGTATTTACATTAGAAAGCTCGTCTGGTTCATCAGATTGTATCGAATTAATTTCCTTTGCATCATTTTACCATTTTACTTTCCGGTGGATGCTACAACTAGCCCCTCATTCTGTTACTATTAACCCCCCTATGGGGCACTTTGTAGTGTTTACAAACACTGATCAAGCGTTTGATCAAGACAATGTTCATGTTTTTATTTAGCAGCTCATCCCTATTGGCTAATATATTGAACTGTCGTCCTCTGTGTGAAGTGCAGGTTTTTCCTAAATAAGAATTTGAATGTTTTCTTTTCCAAACTACTGTAAAAAGCACTTTGCAGCTGTCAAATGAAAACTTTTTTGCATAATTACTTACAAAATTTCATAATGAATAGATGAACAGAAATGGCCCAAAATTACTTGGAAAAAAAATTTTTACATTAACTTTCAGAAGTTATTATTCTGGACATACGAGGTTTTGTTCATACATTGATGACTTATTGAAACTCTTTTGGCCCCAAGCTGGTTTAAAAACCTGAAAGGTTTGAGTACTCGCACCACAACAAGAGGATCAAATAGGTGGGCTTCAGCTTTATTCCCAAGCTAGAACTTTTATCAGTTGTTCTTTCAGTTTTCAGCTTTTGCAAAAGATGCCAAAACATAAACATCTATCAAAATTCTTTTGCCAGGCACTGAATGCCTGTCTGTCTGTTTTGCGTAGTGTTTTTCCCTCTCATGGTAATGGATCATGCTCTCTTTGCTTGAACTGCATCTTGCGATGCTGTTGACAGTGAGTTCTAAGAGCTTAATCCACTGTACCTGATCCTTACAGCCTTCCTGCTGCTGAATGCAAGAAACAGAGCAGAAAGTGAGTTATGGGAATTCTGTCCCGGCACTCAGAAGGAACAGGTTATGACTCTTTTTAAGGCCGCATGCATGTGACCCCCAGGGGAAAGAATGCCTGCTGAGAGCCGTCACGATCAAACCCTGAATCTGTCAGCAAGGCGGATCCTGCGTGTGAGCTGGCAGTAATGGGGGCTGCTACATGCTCACTGGGGACGGTTCTAGATAGACTCCTCCAGCAGCTCCTCTCCAGTTTGACATGGCCAGAGCATGACCTGTCAGGGTTAGTCATAGGGTCAGTCATGGGTGAAGTTCTGAATGTTTTTATTATCATTAATAATAATAATAATGGTAATAATAATAACAGTAGTAATACTACTCATAGTAATAGTAGTGACCTTATGTGCAGCTGCTCTAGAGTGTTCCATTCTATTGGTTTTCTGTGGAGATTATAAAAGCTGTGTGTGCTCAGTTGGGGCACCTTAAAATCTGGATACTTATCAACATGTTGTGTAATTGACAAACAAAATATTACTAAATTTATTTCATTATTCTGTCATTATTGTCAATAAAATGTAGATCGGTTTGTGTTGGGTCATTAATGACTAGAAGCAGTTGGAGAAACACTCATGCATTCAAGGGTTAAAATGAAGTTGTAGTCCCATAAAATATGATGTATTTTTATTATGAAAATTGGGAGAAATAAAGTGGTCAAAGATACATTTTGATAGCATAAATCCAGTCTGATTGCAGATACATGTATAACATTCTGAATATAAATATGAATTAATACAGTATATTCATGTAAAATATAAACCTGTGCAACTTCACAACTTTCAAATAATTTACATGACCTTGACTGAGGAGCATTAAGAATGTGGAGCATTAAGAATGAATCTGTAATAAAAGTAGCACCAAGAATGCTAAAGAGGTTATATTAAAATTTGTATCCAGAATGAAATTATAACAAATATTAAAAATCAAAAAACAAAGTTACAATGAAATTAATATGCATAAGGAAGCTCTGATCAATTTAATATCCAGAGTGAAGTTCTAATAAAATCAATATCCATAGATTTATATTAAAAGACATATCCAGAAAAAGCGACAATCAAATTAATATCCAAAATGAAGCTATAATCATATTCACTAATATTTCAAAAGGGGTGATGAAATTTCTTGACAGATAACTTGACAAGAAAAGACTGTAAATAGATAATTACAATATATATTTATCACTTAATGTAACTTCCTCCTGTACCCAACATATTTTTTTAAAATATTATCTCTATTATTATTTATATTATGTATTTTTTACATTATATATATTTACATTGTACTAGATAAAACGTAAAGTATTTAGTTTTTGTCTCTAGGTAATAATATTTAAATCTACATTGATTATTGTAATTATTTTACATAAAAAAACAAAAATTATTAACATAAGTATTTCCAAACTTACAAACAGTAGTGTATATGTGTCATATACACATATATACAGTGCTCTGACGTGACATGACGTGTTGTGTTGTTTAGGGCCCTCCAGGATCCTTTGACTTTCTGTTGCTGCTGATGGCCGACATCCGTAACGACATTGCAGAGCTGCAGAGTAAAGTGTTCGGCAGGCAGATGCATTCCCCCGGCGAGGAGTTCCTCAACAACGCCGATTTCTGGAAGGACAGTCAGGACAGCCTGGACTTTGGCTCCGGAGAGGACTACAAATCCCAGAGTCCTCCCCGAAGGAAGCGGAAACCATCCAGCACTTTAACTGATCCTGATTAGATTATCCAATGGTGCGGTCAGACAGTCCTCATAAAGTCAGAAAGTTGTCATGTCACAGGTTTTTGAAACTCATTACTGGAGCAATACATACAGTAAATAAACCAGGTGGTCAAGTTATCACATTAACAGTGTCTGCTAGGATGGAGCAGTGGCAGCTACCTCCACAGTGGTTGACCTTTAGCCCTTTTCTGTAAGACTTTTTAAACACTTCACATTGTTTAGTTGAGCTGAATGCTTATCTGTATCAAATAAACATTTAAGCCAGTCAAGTTTTAAACACGTCGATGTAAAGAAAGTAATGTTTATTTCCAAAAGTGATCAGCAACATTTAGATTTCAAACAGTGTTGGTTTATGTGATGTTACCGTCAAGTTCCCCCAATTTGTTCATGAATAGGAGACCAGCTCAACTAAAGACTGACATGTTTTTTAAAAAGTGTCACAGAAAAGTGTCTAAAACCTAAACAATTTGGACAGAAGGCCTTTAGACGCCGAGCGCGATTTATTCAGATGCCAGTAAGTTCATTTGAACGTGCGTATAACTGATGACATCTTGCACGTCAGATGCTTTTTTGGACATCACACTGTTAACAACAGTTTATCAGTTCAACCTAAAAGATTTTCTTTCTGTGTTAACAAGCAATTTAACTGGTTTTACTCAACTCATATACAGTCATATGTACAAGTCTGTGCGCCCCTGGGCAAATGACACATTTTGCTGATTTTCTAAGTGAACATAAGTGAACACGTCCTCTACAGAGGACACACTTTTGCACATTTTAATGCACAATCACTGTTGCTGAATTGAACATATTGAGAAAAAATAGAACAGGGGTGTCCAATCTTATCCGCAAAGGGCTGGTGTGGCTGTAGATTTGAAAAAGTTTGAAGACTAAGACCAGCTGTTTAAACAAGCCACGCCGGCCCTTTGTGGAAAACATTGGACACCCCTGAAATAGAACAAAACATGCAGGCTGTGCTAAATTTACTGCACATTTTATCAAAATAAATAGAAACGATGCTGTAAAATGTGCAGAAAAAATGTCATATTTACACTCTCAGAAAAAAAAATTATGAAACTGTTACTAGGGCAGGACCCCTCTTGTCACATCTCAGTACCTTTAGTCAGGGAACATAATTGTATCATAATTGAAATGATATTTTCTAAGTTGTACTGATTCCACACACCCCGTCTCGTCTCCAGGCTTCTTATTTTATTGCTCTGTTTTAAAACGTAATTATGTAATGAAAAGGTACAAAATACGTACTTTACACCTGGGAAAATGTATTTAAGGTTCACAATCAGACCTTAAAACCACTGTTGTACCTTTGAGGGAACATTTACACTGTTTGTACCTTGATGAACAAGAAATGTTCCTGCACAGAACCTTTATTTCTAACGGTGTAGGTGTGTTCTCTGTGTTCACTTCTTGTCAGTTTAAAGTCAACCAGGCAATACTTCAAATGAATATTATGAATATAACTGAGCAATATTCCACATTAATTCACACCACAAAAAATCAGTTTCTGCCCTGCTACACTGTTTTATTCCTCTACTGTTTCTGTAAGACATTCTGCCTGTGTGAACGTTTAAAATTGTGTTGGGTGCAGGGTGCACATACTTTTGTTGTGCGAAAATCATGTCTAAATATTTCACATTTTCGGATAGTTTATTTGCATTGCATGCACTGTGTGTAATGGCCTTTACTGTGTATTGTGTGGCCACGATATCAGAGAATGTTCTGGCTAGTGATGTGCAAACGGTTAAACTCGACTTTTTTCTCCCCCATTCAAGTGCAACTTCAGACATTCATGAGGTTATGAGGACTGTCTGATCACGCCAACAGCATCACATCAATACCTGTTTTTCAGAAAGAAATGAACTGACTATAAGTGAGAAAATGGTATAGATCAGTTTTCCAGCTCCGGTCTATGAAACCTTCAAAGGTCTGGAAACGCTGGTCTAAATATCACAGAATGGATTTTATTTAACTTCATACTCTTAAAAAAAGACATGAATGTATTTCTTTGTATGAAATTCTATTTTTTTAATATAAAAGATGTACATATTTATCATTACTGTATTTCAAATGAGTCTTTTGTCATACAAATTACCGCAATAGACGTCTTAAATGACAAACTTTTGTAATCTCGGGATAACAAGATAATTTAACTCTAGTTCAAGATAACAATCCAGAAAAATTATAACTACATCACGGCCTCCCCAAACTTTCGTAGATATGAGGTTATTGTTTGACTGCAATATGTTGTTTTGGACGCTGGTAAATGTTGGTCAACTAACATGACCATGCTGGGTAACCAGCTAAACCAGCACCAGACCAGCATAAACCAGCTTAGACCAACATGCAAAATTGGATAACACAAAGTCATACAGTGACTGAAACCACATAAGCAAGTCAAAAGTAAGTCTATGCGTGAAGGTTTTGACATACAGTTAACATAATAGTAATTGGAGGAATATAAGCTTCCATGACTTGCTAACCTGGTAGCAAAACTAAAGAAGCAAACTTCAGAAACCAGTCTCAGCTGATCAAGGGGAAAGGGGTATTATTTTTCATTTAACTTGACTGTTGCATGATGTTGCCTCAGGGCAACAAACTTATTTTCCTTACTTTACAATGACATGATACGTATTTACTGCTCATGAAGGGTTTAATTACTAAGGGAAGAGTTTGAACACACCAATAAAAAGCTTGTACTTGGTCACATTAGAATCTTTTGGATATTTAGAAATATTTCTTGGGGATGGTGCAGCTTTTGAACGACACACGTTACTGCACCAGACAATGTCCCTCAGAAAAAAACATAATTTTTAATCAGTTCCAAAATACAATTCACATCTATTAGAGTGTAAAATTAATTTACATTCACAACTATATAAACAACTTGTAGAAACTGTTCAAATATGTTTGTTGCCTAGAAGCAACATTGTGGAGTGGATTTAGCTAGTCGTAAACAAAGCGTCACAGTTGCAAACAAAACAGCCACGTGAGGAAACAGTGCAGTCATTATATATTTTCTCCATTTGGAATTATGTTTTATTTAGAATAATTTTGAGATTTTTATTTATTTAAGAAACTGGAAAGCAAATTTTATCATTTTTATATTTAAGGACGTGTAGACATAAAAAATCGTATTTCTTGACACTATTTTTTTCCATTCTCACACAATGTTGCTTCAAGGCAACATACCCCAAAAATATCAAATTTTTTTGTTTTGTTTTGTATATTAATAATCATCAATGAAACATTTTTTAAACATTGCTCTCATAATGCATGCAATAGAGGGTTAATATTATTTCAGAGTCAAGCTAATGGAAGAGGACAGAAGAGGGTGAATAATATCGTGCGGCTGCTTTCGCCCGGCCTTCTGAGAGAACGTCTGGAGCTACACCCGATGACGAGGAGCTTTGATGTTTGGGTGTGGAGTGTGAGGGTGGTCCCCCGAGTCCAGACACTCCTAAAACGTCTTCATGTTTTCATTTGAGACATACTTTCTCTCACACTATCCTGTCTCTTTCTCTCTGTCTCTTTCTTTATGCATATTCTGTGGTTGCCTATTCAGTATGTCCAGTATGATCTTGTATGGACCACACCAGCCTGCACCCCTTGCACTGACCCAGAGTATTAACAGTATGTCAGTTCAAAAACCAGATAAAAGAAACAAACATTTTGGTCCATCCTTTTATGTTCACATGTGGAAACTATAGGTAAGGAATAGCGTGTCAAGGTTTAGGAGCACCATCATACCATAAGGCAGGTTATCATTCATATTATATTCCAGAATAGCAGCATTTTTTTATTCAATATTTAATGCTGTACCCACACAATATAACAGTCCGTAAGAGAAGGTTTAAGCCACTACTGAAGCCACTGATATAGAAACAGAGAGCCATGAAAGGGCAATTCCACCAATTTTTCAAAATTCCTGCATAAAAGATGTAAACAAAGTCATTCAGAGTGGTTTGATGTGAAACTGTTCACTGTAGAGAACTCAAATTTCTTTACAGTGGTGGTGATAGAAACCAGGGGTCACAGTCTCAACAGTGTAAATACAGCCATTTTATTTATTATCCAAAACCACCAGAGAATCTACACGTCGTCTGACCCTTTATAAACAATGTTGATAAAGATAAAATTGTGGTAAATCTGAAAAGAAGACCAAAGAATCTATCATACAACAATATCTCAGGTATCAGGCAGCATATTCATAACCATTTCATGTAATAACTGTATACGATCTATGATTAGCATTAAAAGCTTTAGATGTCTAGTTTCCATCACCTCTGCTGTGACTATAATTTCGTATTACATCATTCATATTTTCTATCTGAATGACTTTGTTTGCATCTTAGTTCTTTAATTATGCAGAACTGGCTGATTATTTCTCACTGTACAACACATTGGATGATTGTTTATTACTATTTTAACCACTAGGTGGCATCATTTGCACACAGATGCTGTTTTAATACTGGAGAACAAAATAAAGACTGACCACAAGGTGGCAGAAAATACCAACACACACGCAGACTGACTAAGTCTGCTTTTACAGGGACTGTGTTAGAGAATTGTCACAAACTTACAGCTGGATATTTTCTACTTTGCCTCAGTGCAAGCTAGACACATTTTAGTGTTGTAAGCTGTTGAAATGTGAAGCAACGAGCAGGATAGTTACAAATTTGGCTGTTTATTAATGAACTGGACAAAAGTACATGCAGCAGTATCTCACATAGCTACATTACCCACTTTTATTCCATTGTATGGATATAGTATGTCATATACTGTCAGAAATTACATAAACAAGTCTATTAGATTCTTTAACAACTCCACACAGTTTTAGTTTATACGTATTTTCTTCAGCTCAACTGATGAAAATGCACCAGATTCACATTCTGCTTGCTGTAATATAAACATACGATTGTGAAAGCTAAAATAAATAAATAAATACATTTTTCCAGTTAGCTTAAAAAATTGGGATCATGATTATGGGATAATTGTGACCGGCCTCTTTTGTAGTTTTTCATAACTCCACTTTAAAAAAAAAGTCTGGAGTCAAGAGGTGTATGCAGAGTCAGTGCAACTTTCAAAACGTAATTGAAATAAAATATATTACTTATGTTCTTTAATTGAAGTTACTGAAGACTGAACAGATAAAGGGGATTTCCACCCATTTTTCCAAAATTTCTACATAATTCAATCCTTGAGATGTAAACAATCATTCAGAGTGCTTTGATGTGAAAATGAGAAACTTACCAGCTCATATTTCTTTACAGTGGTGGTTATAGGATACAGGGTTATGTATACAATGCAAATACAGCCATTTTATCTACCTTTCATAATGACATATAAACCTACATGTGCCTTTTAGTTGTTATATGTGATGTTCATGATGCTGAAATAGTTGTAAATCTAATTAAATACATTTTCTTTGGGGACTATTTTGTGTGCATGTACACTGCATGTACAATTCATGCCAACACTGTTGTAAAATAAAGTCTCAGTTATAAGCCTATGTATTCATAACCATTTCTTGTGCTAACTTCCTGTGAGGGAGCTTTTGGAGGCATTAAACTCTTCGGATGTCTGGTTCCTATCACCGCCACAGTGAACAATTCTGACTCTGTAAGTTTCTCTAGAATGAAGCATTTCACACCAAACCTCTGAATGACTTTGTTTAACAGTGGATGATTGAATTATGTAGAATATTAAAAAATAAAACGGTGGATTTAAGTTAAATTAATGCTGCTTGTGGAACTGAACAAATCCATGCACTGGCTGGGGCTCCATAAAGCAAAGCCAGACTGAAATGACCAGCTTGTAACCAGCTCACAGCATAGCAATGACTTTACTGAAAACACAGTCTGCCTACTTTCTACTGTACTGATGTTGATTAATATTTATTCTAATGATATTTTGTACAACACAAGCTAAGCCATATTTCCTGTCCCCGTAAAATAGTTGTAGTTATTTTTTTTCATGACTAGCCAAAGACGTTTAAGCACCGCACATCAAATTTATGCCATTCTGACTTTTCCATTCTCCTGTTTGTTCCCTTTACCCCTTGTTCAGACGCC